AAAGAATAAGAAAAGCTGAGAAGGCCATAACTCCCCTGTACCCGAAATACCCCACCCAGTTCCCGGAATAAAAGGAACAAAAAGTCCCCAGTTGATGTCAACATAGAGAAACCACTAACGAACATGGGACTTTCCGCACCAAAACCCCCCAACCTACCCCGCTTCTCTGTATATGGCCTCATTTAAACTAACCAATCTGCACCTCTGCTTCTGTACACCCGCTTTTTTTGCCTCCACGCCCTATATAAGGGGTCAGCTTACCCCCGCCGGCGCTTCTCTCGTCCTCGGACTTGAGACGCCCGTGGGTTCCCGCGCCAATAAATCCTCTTTGCGTTTACATCCGTCAGTCTCGGCTGGTCATTGGAGGAAGGTGAGTCAGTCTTTGGGCTTTACATTTGGGGGCTCGTCCGGGATCTGACGAAACCTTCCTCCGGAGACCTCCGATATCCTGGCTGGAGGTAGGCGGTCCGCTATGTCATAAATGTGTCCGTCCGTCCATGTTGTTTGTGTCTAAGTTATTGAAATCAGTGGGGGACGGAAGGAGTTGACGAACTCAGACTTCCTCCTCCTTTCGGTCCTAAGGAGACGTCCTCCGGACTTTTGGAGAGAACTCCCCTCCTCCCGAGGAGAGGGGTCTCATTTGATTAGGCCCACGGACCGCTGACCTTGGTCAAGTGTCCCCGGCCCTATTTTGGGATTAGTGGCGCCAAGTGTTGTCCTTTGTGAGTCCTACGTGTTCGTTTCTGTTTACTGTGCTCGGTCGTCCGGCAAAATTCTGGTTATTCGGCTACGGGACAAACTTTAACCACACCCTTAAGCCTCACTTTAGATCATTGGACCCAGGTACGAGAAAGGGCACATAATCTCTCTGTAGAGATTAACAAGAAGAGATGGAAAACTCTCTGCTCCTCAGAATGGCCCACCTTTGGAGTGTCATGGCTGCCCGAGGGAACTTTCAATTCTCAAATTATTTTACAGGTGAAACAACGTGTCTTCAGTCCTGGGCCTCATGGGCACCCTGATCAAGTGCCCTACGCAGTCACCTGGGAATCTTTGGCCACCGACCCCCCTCCTTGGATAAAACCTTTTGTCTTTTCCGCCTCGCAGCCGATCCCCTCTCCTACAGCTCCACCCCTCCCGATGTCCCCTACTATGGCCCTCTCCTCTCCCTCACCCCCGCTCGTTCCAATCCCTGCCCTTCCTCCCCCACCTAAGCCCCCAACCCCATCTTCTTCTCTTTACCCAGCCCTTCTAAAGGACAGCCCCAAAGCCCCTCCAGTACTCCCACCTGACCCCCACTCCCCTCTCATTGATTTACTCTCAGAAGATCCCCCACCTTATGTGCAACAGGAACGTCCCCCCCCCCCGACCCTCAGCGGGCGCCCGGCCCAAAGCGGCAAGCGCCCCTTCGGCACCTGCACCTCCCACTCCCTCGCCAGTGGCAGGAAGATTGAGAGGGAAACGAGATCCCTCTCCCCCCCACCCGAAGCTGCCGCCCGCCTTTTTCCTCTGAGGGAGGGACCAAATGGCCTCCAATATTGGCCGTTCTCTGCCTCGGATCTCTATAATTGGAAACAACATAACCCTCCTTTTTCCAAAGATCCTAGTGCACTAACTAATTTAATTGAGTCCGTTTTAGTTACACACCAGCCTACTTGGGATGATTGCCAGCAGCTTCTACAGGCTCTCCTCACCTCGGAAGAGCGGCAAAGAGTTTTTTTGGAAGCCCGGAAAAATGTTCCAGGCGAGGACGGGCGCCCCACGCAACTCCCCAATGAAATTGATGATGCTTTTCCCCTCACCCGGCCAAACTGGGACCTTGCTACGGCGGCAGGTAGGACCCACCTACGTCTTTATCGCCAGTTGCTCATGACAGGTCTCCAAAAGGCTGCTAGAAAGCCTACTAATTTGGCCCAGGTTAAACAGGTAATGCAAAAGATGGATGAGTCTCCCTCCGCTTTCTTAGAAAGACTTAAAGAGGCCTACCGGGTGTACACCCCATATGACCCAGAGGATCCTGGGCAGTCCACAGGAATCTCTATGTCTTTCATATGGCAGTCGAGCCCGACATAAGAAATAAACTCCAGAGGTTAGAGGGGCTCCAAGGTTACACCCTGGCAGATTTACTGAAAGAGGCCGAAAAAGTTTTCAATAAGAGAGAGACTCCAGAGGAGAAAGAAGAGAGACTATGGCGGAGGATGAAAGAGGACCAAGAGGAAAGGGATAAAAAACTACAAGAGCAACAGGAGGCTAGAGATAAAAAGAAAAGCAAAGAACTAAGTAGATTGTTGGCCACTGTAGTTAGACCTCAGGATAGTCAGCCGAGGGACCGAAAAAGGCCCACCAGTAGGCGCAAATCAGTGCGCATACTGTAAAGAGGAAGGACATTGGGCTAGGAATTGCCCTAAGCTCAAGAATAAGAAATCTAAAGCTCCAAAGGAAGCCCTATCCTTGGAAGGATAGGGGTCTCAGGGCCAGGAGCTCCCCCCTGAGCCCAGGCTAACCTTGAAAATAGGGGGGCAACCTGTCACCTTCCTAGCAGATACGGGCGCTCAGCATTCTGTCTTGACTCACACCCTGGGACCTCTCAGCGAGCGCTCCGCCTGGGTTCAAGGAGCAACTGGCAGCAAGAGATACCAATGGACTACTGACCGAAAAGTGCATCTCGCTACTGGTAAGGTAACCCACTCGTTCTTGCATGTGCCAGATTGCCCTTATCCTCTACTAGGGAGGGACCTCCTCACTAAATTAAAGGCCCAAATTCATTTTGAAGAATCAGGCATACACATAAGAGGGCCAAATGGTAACACCTTGCAAGTCTTGACCCTCCAAATGGAAGATGAATATAGACTTTTTGAATCCCCTGATCCCCCTCCGGATGAGGAATTCGAGTCATGGCTGCAGAATATTCCTTGGGCATGGGCCGAAACAGGGGGCATAGGACTGGCCACCAGGCAGCCGCCGGTCCTAGTACAATTAAAGGCAGCGGCAGGCCCCATCTCCGTCAAACAGTACCCCCTGTCCCAAGAGGCCTATATGGGAATAAGACCCCACATAAGGAGGCTCCTAAATCAAGGAATCTTGACTACATGCCGGTCTCCATGGAATACCCCTCTCCTACCAGTCAGGAAACCAGGCACCCAGGATTATAGACCAGTCCAGGATCTCAGGGAAGTCAACAAACGAGTGGAGGACATCCACCCCACCGTTCCCAACCCATATAATCTGTTAAGTACCCTGCCTCCGACTCACACCTGGTATACAGTGCTAGATTTGAAGGACGCCTTCTTTTGCCTGAAACTGCACCCTGAGAGTCAGCCATTGTTTGCGTTTGAATGGAAAGACCCAGAATATGGGTTATCTGGACAATTGACCTGGACTAGACTCCCCCAAGGGTTTAAAAATAGTCCCACCCTCTTTGATGAAGCCCTCCATCAGGACTTGGCAGAATTTAGAGTCCAGCATCCTATGGTAATTCTACTCCAATATGTAGATGACCTCCTGCTAGCGGCTGTCACCAAAGAGGACTGTTTGAAAGGGACTAAAATCCTCCTTGAAACCCTAGGCCAACTAGGATATAAAGCCTCTGCTAAAAAGGCCCAAATTTGTAAGAGACAAGTAACTTATTTGGGATATAAATTAGAGAACGGACAAAGATGGCTCACCCCCGCCCGCCAACAAGCTATCCTGCAGATACCGGCTCCCCAGACTCCCCACCAACTCAGGGAGTTTCTGGGAACTGCTGGCTTCTGTCGACTCTGGATACCAGGATATGCGGAATTGGCAGCTCCATTATACCCTCTCACAAAGCCAGGAGCGCCATTTATATGGCAGGCCGAACACCAACAGGCCTTCGAGGGAATAAAAAAGGCCCTCCTTGAGTCTCCAGCCCTAGGCCTCCCTGATATCACCAAACCTTTTGATCTATTTGTGGCAGAAACTGCAGGATATGCCAAAGGGGTTCTCACCCAGAGGCTAGGGCCTTGGAAGCGGCCCATAGCTTACATGTCTAAGAAACTGGATCCGGTGGCATCGGGTTGGCCACCCTGCCTAAGAATGATTGCGGCCATTGCGGTCCTGATCAGGGACACTAATAAATTGACTATGGGACAATCCTTGACTCTCTATACCCCGCATTCTATTGAAACCCTAATCCGACAACCACCGGGTAAATGGCTCTCCAATGCGCGACTGACTCATTACCAGGCCTTGCTCCTAGACACTGAACGCATCACCTTCGGCTCTCCAGTGGTCCTCAACCCTGCTACCCTGCTCCCTTTGCCGGGAACGCCGGTCTCTCATGACTGTCATCAGATTCTAGCAGAGACTCATGGGATGCGGACAGACCTGACAGATCAACCTCTCCCCGACGCAGATCACGTCTGGTACACCGATGGCAGCAGCTTCCTCTATAATGGGGAACGATGAGCCGGAGCAGCAGTCACCACTGAGACAGAGGTAATATGGGCCCAATCCTTGCCCCCCGGAACCTCAACCCAGCGGGCCGAACTTATAGCTCTGACTCAGGCCTTAAAGTTGGCAAAAGGAAAGAAACTGACTGTGTATACTGATAGCCGGTATGCCTTTGCAACCGCTCACATCCACGGGGAAATATATAGAAGAAGAGGGTTATTAACCTCAGAGGGAAAAGACATCAAAAATAAAAATGAAATACTGGCCCTATTAGAGGCCCTCTTTTTGCCCCAGAAATTAAGCATCATCCATTGTCCCGGCCATCAAAAAGGAGAAAACCCAGAGGCTAGAGGCAATCGCCTGGCGGATCATGCTGCCAGGGAAATTGCTAATGTGCCCCCTGCCGGGACTACCAGCCTCCCATTACAAGAGGCACCCTCCCCTCAACCTAGGGCATTAAAATTAACATACGGGGAGGAGGACGTCCACCTGCTACAAAAAATAAGGGCAAATCTGGATACCCAGCAAGGCATCTGGTTCTTCCAAGGAAAGAAGGTCATGCCCTCGGCATGCACCCAGGAGATAATTGAATGTCTGCATAGACTGACTCATCTGGGAACCAGAAAAATGAGAATCCTCCTTGGTAAGGAAGAACAGGACACCTATTTCCTTAACAAAGATAAGATCCTGCAGGAGACCGTCAACAAATGCACGGCCTGCGCTCAAGTAAATGCAGGAAGAGCAAAATTGGGAGCCGGAACTCGTCCAAGAGGGCATCGCCCTGGAGTCCATTGGGAAGTTGACTTTACTGAGGTCCAGCCAGGTACTTATGGGTACCGATATTTGTTGGTATTCATTGATACCTTCTCTGGTTGGATAGAGGCTTATCCAACCAAATGAGAGACTGCCCGAACCGTCACAAAGAAACTCTTGGAGGAGATTTTTCCCAGGTACGGAGTGCCTCAGGCACTAGGGTCTGATAATGGGCCAGCCTTCGTCTCTCAGGTAAGTCAGGGCGTGGCCAACTTTTTGGGGGTAAATTGGAAATTGCATTGTGCTTACCGACCCCAAAGTTCAGGGCAAGTTGAGCGAGCAAATAGAACCATTAAGGAGACCCTAACTAAATTGTCGCTCCCAACTGGCACTAAAGACTGGGTGCGCCTACTCCCCTTAGTGCTCTACAGAGTACAGAATACCCCCGGAGATATGGGACTAACTCCCTTCGAGATTCTATATGGGTCTCCTCCTCCCCCCGTCAAATTTTATGAGGACCCCGGGGCCACTCTTGATAACTATCCTTCTCTGAAAGCCCACTTGCAGGCCCTGCATCTGGTACACACTGAAATCTGGAAGCCCCTGGCCGAGGCGTACGATGAGCAGCGCGCCCGACCCATAGCACCTCACCCCTTCCAGCCCGGAGATACCGTTTGGGTCCGTCGGCACCAAACCAAGAATTTGGAACCCCGATGGAAGGGACCCTATACGGTCCTCCTCACCACACCAACTGCTCTGAAGGTCAATGGAATAACTGCTTGGATACACGCCTCCCACGTCAAGGCCGCGTCACCCGAGGACCAAGCCACCATCTCCGCATGGCGGGCCCATCGCACTCAAAACCCTTTAAAGATAAGACCGTCACGCTCTTAATTATATTTGCTCTATTTGTTCCCCCTCTGTCCTCCCAGGGGTCTCCCCATGATCTGTATAATGTCACTTGGACAGTTCAAAATACCATGACAGGGGTTATTGCCAACTCTACCTCAAAAATAACCCCTGTCTCCACCTGGTTCCCTGACTTGCTGGTGGATCTATGTGATCTTGTATCTTTAGATTGGGACCCCTCTGACCAACAGCCCTTTCCTGGGTACGGATGCCGCACACCCGGGGCCCGATGAGACACTCGGAAGAGCTCCTTTTATGTGTGTCCTGCCCACTCTAGGTCCCCCGCACAAATATATAAATGTGGAGGGCCCGAATCTTTTTACTGTAAAGCTTGGGGTTGCGAATCAACCGGGTGGATGAATTGGCCCCCGCCCGTGCGTGACGATCTCATCACAGTAACAAGGTATGGAGATTATACCACGCTAGGGGCAGGATTTTGTCAGGGAAAAGGAGATTGTGGCCCCTGCCATTTGCCCCCCAAACATCTAGGTACCCCCAAGGGCCGCTGCAACATCCTCCTGATCAAGTTTACGGAAAAAGGAAAACAAGACCCCTGGCCCGCCAGTAAATCCTGGGGACTCCGTTTATATGTCACAGGACACCCTGGTGTCATCTTCTCCATTCAGAGAACTATTTCCCCAAAGGCCCCTATGTCCTCTCCGGTGGGCCCTAATAAGGTCTTAGCCGAGCAAAAATCTCCCTCAAAGAGCGAGACAAAGTTGGTGCTGACGACAGCTCCCAAGTTAAAGATAGACCCCCAGAATGCCTCGGCTCCCACCCCCATCAGCAGCCCTGTCAGGCCTCCAGCCCCAACTTCCTTGGGGACAGGAGACAGACTTTTAAATCTGGTTAAAGGAGCCTATCAGGCCCTGAAGTCCTCTCGCCCTGCGCAAGCACAGAATTGTTGGCTGTGCTTCAATCCAAATCCCCCCTATTATGAGGGGATTGCTCACTCTGATAATATTTCCAATACCACCGTACCCCCTGCTGCCTGTATGTCCTCGGGACCTCGATTGACTCTCACCCAGGTCTCAGGAACAGGCCTATGCATCTCCAGTTCCCCCTGGCATCAATTGGGTCCCAGATGTAACTCGACCCTACAAGCCCCTAGGGGTGCCTATTATCTCTCCCCGCCCAATGGCTCTTACTGGGCTTGCCAGACTGGCCTCACCGCCTGTCTATCCGCCGAGGTCCTTCACCAGCTCAATGATTCTTGTGTATTAGTACAGATCTGGCCAAGGCTAACCTACCTGTCCGATGATGATTTCTTGTCCAGGTTTCAAACCCCTTCCCCGAGAGTTCGTAGGGAGCCTGTGACGCTCACGATAGCCTCCTTATTAGGAATCGGGGGCATCACTGCTGGGGTAGCTACCAGGGCCACCGCCTTGGTTCGAACTGATAGATACCTTTTGCTTCATAAGGGCATGAATGAAGATCTACAGGCCTTAGAACAATCAGTGAGGGCTTTGACAACCTCAATATCCTCCCTGTCCGAGGTGGTACTGCAAAATAGAAGGGGGTTAGATCTGCTGTTTCTCAAAGAAGGAGGCCTTTGTGCCGCTCTGAAAGAAGAATGCTGCTTCTACGCCGACCAAACAGGCATTATCACAGAAACCCTAGACAAATTGAAGGAAAGGCTGCATAAAAGGAAATTGGAATTTGAATCTCAGCAATCATGGTATGAAGGGATATGGAACCAATCCCCTTGGTTCACTACTCTTATCTCGGCCTTGATTGGCCCATTAGTGCTCCTCACTTTAATCCTAACTTTCGGACCCTGCATCATTAACCGTCTCACCCAATTTGTGAGGGACAGAATCTCGGTGGTCCAAGCCTTAATGCTTACCCAACAATATCAGGGTTTACGCCAGGAAGAAGAGAGCCACCACTAAGGCATTCATAGAAAGTAAAAGGTTTTACTTAATGCCAAAGAAAATGGGGGAATAAAAGAATAAGAAAAGCTGAGAAGGCCATAACTCCCCTGTACCCGAAATACCCCACCCAGTTCCCGGAATAAAAGGAACAAAAAGTCCCCAGTTGATGTCAACATAGAGAAACCACTAACGAACATGGGACTTTCCGCACCAAAACCCCCCAACCTACCCCGCTTCTCTGTATATGGCCTCATTTAAACTAACCAATCTGCACCTCTGCTTCTGTACACCCGCTTTTTTTGCCTCCACGCCCTATATAAGGGGTCAGCTTACCCCCGCCGGCGCTTCTCTCGTCCTCGGACTTGAGACGCCCGTGGGTTCCCGCGCCAATAAATCCTCTTTGCGTTTACATCCGTCAGTCTCGGCTGGTCATTGGAGGAAGGTGAGTCAGTCTTTGGGCTTTACAGCCAGAATGGCAGGCGGCAGGAGCCCCAGGAACCGGGTTCACCAGGGCTGGGGGTGTCCCCAAAACAGGCTCCTTCCCCAGGACGGGGGAACCCATCAGCCTTGGAACTCCTCCGTTCTACCCAAAAGCATCCTGGGACTGAGGTGGGGAGCCCCCCAGCCTTGTCCCTGCAGCAGCGCTGGGGTGCCCCTACCCGCTCTGTCCCCGGGTCTGGGGGCTCCCTTCGTCCCCCTCCTGCCCCACACGTTTTCTTCCTGGCCTTGAGCTTCCTTGCAGGCCGGAACAGCTGCCTGTCTCTATCCCCACAGACCGGCTGCTTGCTCTTGTGCTCAGCAGCAGTCAGAGTAGTGGATGGGCTGCACCCGGGTCGGCTAGAAATGGCAGTGGGGGCCAGAAGTGGGCTGGTGGCAGAAGGGAGCCCGGTCAGACCAGGTGACACTCAGGGCCCAGGGCCCCAGAGCCTGGCCAGGAGGCCGAGGCCTGGGAGCCCTTTGCCATGAGTAGGCCCAGGCCGTGAGAAGACTGCCCAGCTGCCAGCAACCGGGGGAGCCTTCGCCAGCCCCCAAATGATCCAGGTTCCCTCACCTGGTCCGCCCCTTCCTACCCCAGGGTTAGAAGAAGTAGTATGGGATTGAACCCAGGGCCTTGGCCCTGAGCTGCATCCCCAACCCTTTCTACTTTTCTTTTTGGGTCTCCCTAAGCCGTCCCACCTATACAGACTTGAACCTGTGACTCTCCTGCCTCAGCCTCCCAAAGTGCTGGGATTCCAAGATTGGCCCCAGACTTTTGCATAGCACTGAAAGGGCCACCCACAGATACCTGGGGATCAGAAACCCATCCCAGCCTGGCCCTGGGGGAAAGCGTTTGTCCTGCAGCCTGAGCTTCTGTTTCCAGGCCAGAAATTCACAGGAGTGTCACCCGCAGCCGCTGGGGGTCCCTGCATCCCTCCTGTCCAGTCACGTGGCCTGAGTCGGAGGTGGCCCGGTCACTCCTGTCCCCATCAGCCAGCCAGTCACTGAAATCCTGCACCCATGGGTCTGCCTGGGTGGGGTGGGCAGTGAGCTTCTGGGAGAAAGTTCTGCCTCTTTCTGCTCTCTTGGGCTCCGCTCGTTCACCCTGCCCATTCATTCGCGTACCCCTCAGCCCCTGCTCAGAACCTGGTGACCTGGTGCCAGACAGTCTGAGCCCAGCATAGCCCCAGCTCCTCCTACAGCTGGCTGCCTTCTAGGACAGCTGGGGACAACCTTGAGGTGAGGGATTGGGGTGCATCTTACACAATGTGAGGCCCTGGATTCCACTCCAGAACCACAAAAAGGTTTTTAAAAAGAGGTCAAGAGAGCCGGGCGTGGTGGCGCACGCCTGTAATCCCAGCACTGGGGAGGCTGAGGCAGGAGGATTGCTGAGTTTGAGACCAGCCTGAGCTACATAGTGAGTTCCAGGTCAGTCTCAACCACATAGTGAGACCCTGTCTCAAAAACAAAAAACAAAAACAAAAAAAGAGGTCAAGAGAAAGAGGACCAGGGATGGAGGTGTTTAGCTAGGGTGGGCAGGGGCAGTCTCTAGGGACAGGGAACATTAGACGGTGTGTTGATCTGTGCCTGGAATCTCAGCACTCAGGAGGCTGAGGCTGAAGATGTAGCTCAATTCAAAGGCTCTGGGTTCAACTTCCAGTACCACAGAATAAATAAATACATAGCAAACTTCTCAAAGGGAAGAGGCAGGGTCTGGAGGGCCTGGGAGCAGTGGGCAGAGACAGGTGCAAATGCAAAGGCCCTGAGGTAGGATGGGAGTGTGTGCAGCAAGACCAGGAGAACCAGGGTGCTGGCCTGAAGTGCACGGAGCGAGTGTCATGGGAGACAGGCAGGCTCCTGCCTGAGGCCGCAGTGACCCTGAGCTGCCTGTGTTTGCAGGCTGAGGAGACATCTGCCTCCCTCTCTCTGCATACTCAGGCTGGGACACTCAAGGCCACCTCTCCTGAAACTGGATGTCCTGTTATGTGGCTGGTTTGAACAGCAACCCTCCTATGAGGTATCTCCACAGAACTGCAGAATAGGATCTCTTTTGGAAACAGGGTCCTTGCAGATAGAGCTAAATTAAGAGATCAAGCAAGGCAAAGCGTGGTGGTGCAAGCCTTTCATCTCCGCACTCGGGAGGCTGAGGCAGTAGGATCACTGTGAGTTCAAGGCCAGCCAGGGCTACATAGCAAGATCCTGTCTCAAAAAAACAAAACAAAAACAAAAATCACTGTGGATAGGGTAGTCTCTAATCTTACAAGGGACTTTTTTTTTCTTTTTCTGTGTGTGCAATACTGGGGACTGAATCCCAAACCTTTTTTTTTTTCTGAGAAAAGTTCACCCTAAGTTGCCTAGGCAACTCACTATGTAGCCCAGGCTGATCTCAAACTCACAGAGATCCTCCTGCCTCAGCTTCCCAAGTGCTGGGATTACATGCACCACCATGCCCAGCGACCAGGCTGGCTTTGCATTTGGAACCCTCCTGCCTCAGCCCCCTACTCCCAGTAGATGGGCCATAGGTGCGTACCACTGTGCCTGGCTAGGGTGTCTACAGGAAAGCCATGTGGCCATACGGACCGTGAGAGAAGGCTGGGTGACAACCAAGGCACCGCATGGAGAGACACAACCAAGAGCCAAGGACACGAG